CTCTGTGCATTTGAAGTTGTTTTCAAAATCCCACGGTTGTTTTTAAGGTTCTTTTACTTCTCTACTACTAACCGATTTTTAGCGCTACGCTACTTTAAATTTTTGACTTCTCTGACTTCTGTTGTTTGAATCCCTGTATGTTTGAAGTGCTTTCAAGTTTCTATGGCTGTTTTCTTTAAGGGTTCTTTGACCTCTATGCTGTCAATCAACTTTAAGTGTTTTCAAATTAAGGTTCATCCCAGACTTCTCTTCAAGAGGTTTTTCCACTTTCAATGATAAAAATGCTCATCTCTTTACGTATTTGGTTAATCTTTGTATGCATGCTCGAACCTAGATGTTCCTAATGGTTACACTGATTTCTTCTATTATGCCTATTTCTGTGAATTAGTCGTATTAACTGACTCTATTTAGGGATTTGAGTGATTTTCCTGTTAAGTCCAGTATTCTTTGGAATTTTGTTGCTTAATTGATTTCTATTTAGGGAATTCGAATAATTCTTTCCTGATTAAAATCACTATTTTCCAGAATTTTTACTTGTTTCCTTGTTGTGACTAATTACACTTGCCTTAATTAGTTATCATTAGTTTGGGGATTTGATGGTCTCCTTATATGGCATGGTGTTGATTTATTACCTTATTTGAGTCCCAGCTCTAACCGTTAATTGATTGCCCCCCAATTAAGGGGTCTATTCCGGATTCCTCTATGGGAATTGATTATGTGATTGATTAATTGCTCCTAATTGATTGAACTGTGATTCTTTTACCTTAGTTTGATTCACCCCTAAAGTGCTATATATACACTCTCATTCTGCTCCTTCAAGACACGAACAGTAGTTCAAAATACACACACACACATTCAAACAGTCTCTCTATCTTTGCTACTTGTGATAATTGTTGGTCTAGCCGGCTGAAAGCCAAGGCTAGATATTGGATTTGCACCTACTTCTTTCATATTCTGTACTTTTCTTCTTTAACTGGTATGTCTCTAGTTAAATTCTGAAACTCAACCTTATGTAATATATGTCTATACACCCATATTTATTCCTGCATTAGTTACTCAACTTGTTTCTCTGTTTGCTGTTATTAAGCATGTCTAAGTTATGCCTTATGTGTAATCAGCATGTTTAATTTCACTTAGTTCTTTGATACCTGCCTAGCATGTTTACTTGGATACCATACCCCCTCCCTTTTTATGGGTATGACTATGTAATTACTTAGTTTTCTAGTACATTTCAATTAGTCCTGATTGTATGTCCCATGTTGTTCAACACCTATGTGCCTTCAACATGATCCTTCTACATCCCTTATCTATGTCTTAACTAACTAATACCATGATTGACCTGATTCAGTAGACTCCTGTTGGTTCTGTACACTTGCTGTATCAAATGTTTCTCTGTTTATGTGGTTTTAGTCCTCTATGTTCACAATCCCCTTCACCCATGTTTGTAAGTTTACTCGTTGTGTGAATCTGAGTACTTTATGACCAATTGGGTTGTTTGTTGAGCATGCTTTCTTCAAGGCAATTTTAAAACTACTGCTTTTACTCATAGTATTCTTCTCAAAAGCTGGTCACTCCCAGTATGTTCTTAAAAAAAGGAAAGTTGTTTCTGAATCTCCTTTGCTTCTGACTGTTTTACTAAGTCTTTCAAAACTGTGTCAAGCACTCTCACCCAACTCTTAGACTATTAAGTTCTGCCCCTCTGGTGTGTGTACTGCTTAGGGATCCCTGAGATCTCTCTGAACTCTGGCATACCAGGCGTGGCCCTTCTATACTGCACACAACCAATCCCTATCTGAGAAAAGTCTTGGTGTAAGCACTGCCCGGGATCCTTGAGGTCCTTACGGAACTCTGACACACCAAGACACACTATTAGCTGTAAGATCTTTGGCTTCTGAGACTGTATTGAAGGCCTGGCATCCCCAGCTTCACTTTGGGCCAAATTGAAGCTCCTTATAGTGTAGTTTACATTTATTTGTGCAATTTATTTGATCCTAGCTTGTAATAATATTCTTTGTAAACAGATATTGGGTTAATTAGTAAAAAGGGGAGGGTTCCTATATGATTTTTGTGGGGGAACAGGGTAGAAATCCTGCGTTAGGTTTACATTATGATGATTTGCAATAGAAATCATGCTTTAGGATTATGTTGAGCTTATCTGCAATAGAAATCATGTTTTGGGTCTATGTTGTTTGCATCAGAAATCCTGCCTTAAGATACTCACGTTTACTGCCTTTGCATAATAGAAATATGTTATAAGTTCATCGCTTCTTTCTCTGACTTCGCATAAGTTATTATCACCTGGAAATCATGTCATTAAACTGCTGCTGTAATCTTGCTTAATAAAAATTGATCACCTTTATGTGCATTAGATATCCTGATTTAGGACTTTGTTTGTATTGGCTCTAAACCATGTCCACGTCGCTTTGAATAAGTAACTGTCTATAAAAAGTTCAAAACAGTCCAACACCTAAATATCATGTCTTAGTGTAAACATGCATAAAATCACTTGTTATAGCCTTCATCACTTAGATCAGCATGCCTATAGGATAAAAGAGCTTCAAATTGTTTAAATTGTTCCCAGATTATGACTGCATATACACACCTAGGCAAGCCTTAGGCCGTTGGATAATTGCGAAATTAGGTTCTGTTTATGTGTGAAACTGTCCAGGTTTAACAGGCTATAGAATTAATAGGCAAGCTGATTAGGGTTCGACCATTTCACTTTTAAACAAATGCTGCATATTCTGTGTTTGTGGTGTTCGTTTAGATGTCATTTTCTAAGGCTTTCTAAATTTCTTCAAAATCAGTTGTTTGAGACGTGCTACGTATCTGTTTATGTGTGGAGGTAAAACATGAGCCCCTAATTACTTCCTTATTTGACAGCCCTATGTGTTCTTTGTTAGCGCTTAGATTTTACCTTTTGAATACCTTAGGAGTGTCTAGAGCTGCCTAAGTATAGAGGTCCTAAACACCTCCGGAACCACAAGGAAGGGACGGGTAAAGTACGCTTAGAGTTCGTTAATTAAACTCACTTATGTAACCACTAAGGGGAGGGTAATGGGTAGTAAAAGGATATGATGACCTGTGCACTAATGCCACCTATAACCCCTATATTTGAGAAAGGCTTACCGGGTATTGTATAGATGAGATCC